TTTTAGGTTAAAAATATATTCTGAATTTATTTTAATACTGAAAAAGTAAGCACTAATATACAACATTCAAATTTCAGAGGTATTTTTTATTCAAATTCTGATGGCACATATTTACTTCCATAGTATGAGCGCGTAAAATTTGGATGGAATAAAAAGGCGCTGTTTGGCATTTGGACTAACCACACTGAAGTCACGAGTGTTCTCATTCCAGTCATGGGAAGCTGATCTCAATTTGTGGTTAACGCATGAAAACCATGTTATCGCATTTCAGACATGTTCAAATTGTTTTGCATGGTCCAAAAATATCACCATGTCCATTTTACACAGTCTTCTCGCAGAAAGACACATAATGAATGTCTGAACACTTGAATATGATATATTTATACTGTGTGTTTGTGTGTAGACGTACCACTATCACAGCATTTGCTGCTGTCCTCTCTCTAATGACATGGTCACACAGGAGGTGTAACGCACACATATACTTAAGTTGTGTGTGCATGTGTACACATACCTTAAATCATTCCAAATAGTCTGTCTACTTACTTTTATAGCTTTTACCCATTGTTGTGCTGCTTTAACTAATGACATTTACGCTATTGTCTGTTGGCAGGGTAAAATAAATATGTCTGGGGGGCTTCTAAATCACTTTTGCAGGCCCTGTAGCATATAACGTATCGATATAACTGTTGCTTCAAAAAGTCAGATTTTGATTTGGCGACACCAAGGCCTTCTAGCAGGTGTGTGGTGACGTGAAGCTATTCACACATTTTGATTGGATAGTAAGAGAGCGTACTAACTAGAGCTAACAAACTGCACCTGCATAATCAAAAGATGCTTTTGTTGGTTTAAAAGCTCTTTTGTCAACCCACAATGGTCGAAGGAAGAAAAGCAGGCAGATCTACGGTTGAGACCATTTTTAAGACTGATTTTTCCAGAAAACTTTACATCGTGGAAAAAGGTCAGGCAAAATCCAAAGTTGGACAGCATGTGAAATTCAGGAAAATTATTCAATTCAATCCAACAACAATGAGCGATACCCTTTGTTCACAGGCTGCAAGAAACACTGCAATTTGTAGTGCTATGTTTGGTGGGGACCATCCCTGTGTCCACTGCTTCTGTCAAGCGGACATTTTCAGCCAAAAAGCTAATTCAAGTTTATGTCCAAAATCTGACAGGGTAAGCTCTACTTTCAGCATTAGCTTTGATGTAAATATAAAAGGATTTCTAGATAGAACTGAGACAAAAAATAATCAGTATGGCAGAGTAATTGAACTATTCTTTAAGAAGGAAAGCAGGATGGATTTTGTGTATAAATAGGATTTTTTTGTGAGTAAAATGTAACTATTTTCTGAAATAACAATAAACTTTCCTGCATCATAAGATTTTTTTATTGCCATAGAACTGATATTGAGGGGTGAATTTATTCAGACAGGTTACCACCAAAAGCCTAGGTGTGACATGCACGGCCCACCACTGAGTGTTTGTCCTTAGTGTTTTCATTAAGAAACAACTTTTTCAGATTCCATCCATTGGCTATAACTCTTATTGCTAGTTGGGTCACAGTGTCAAAGTCCTGAGGTCCATTTCATAAAGTAGGTTCAACAATCATTAAGTCTGAGTTTATACTCTCTCAGAGTGGAAACTCTTGAGTTTTCGGTTTTACAAAGGCTGTTGTAAGTTATCTTACGGTAACATTACAGGGAAAACTGTTTTTCTGCTTGAATGGTAGTGTATTAATGTATTCTATTTAGGGGGAGAAGCACACATGGCAGCAGCTGAAGATGAAGAAGAAAAACGTTCTAACAGGTCAGACTTGTGCATTAACTCATGGGGTACTTCCTCATTTTGATTGTGTTTGACATTACACAGTAAATATGAAGTGGCTGTTTGACTGTGCAGTTGTTTTCTATGATATTGTTTTCACACACATCAATGTGCTCTCACGATATCAAATTCTGTTAAACATTGAAAGCTTTTTAAACCAACAAAACTTTTTCTCAGCCAACAGAAAGAAGACAGACCCCTGTAAAACAGGTGGTGGTCCACAACCTCCACCACAGGCGGAGGTCTATGTACAGTGATGGAAAGAAATATTAGACTACTTTCTATCCCCCTTTCTTGTTAATTTTAACTGGTAAAGTAAATTTGTACAGTGCCCTCCACCCTGTTTAAGATGTGGTCAAGGACTTCTAAAAATTATGCTTTTTTTTTAAACAACATACAACCCAAATGCAAAAAAAAAAAATCCAACCTTTTATTTAAGTACATTACTTTGACGGTAAAAACAAAATCACATATTTAGAAAATGAAAAAGGTGAAATCATGTGTCCCACAATTATAAGCACCTCTGATGTTAATACTTTGTACAACCCCCTTTGCCAACAAGACAGCGCTTAATCTCCTCCTATAACATTTCACAAGATTGGAGAACACAGAGAGAGGGATCTTTGACCACTCTTCTTTGCACAATCCTTCCAGATCATCCAGTGTCCTGACTCTTATGAACTATCCTCTTGAGCTCGCCCCACAGGTTTTTGATTGGATTGAGGTCGGGGGACTGAAATGGCCAAAGGAGGACCTTGAGTTTGTGACAACTGAATCACTTTTGTTAGATTTTGCCACATGTTTTGGATCATTATCCTGCTGGAAGACCCAATGATGACCCATCTTCAGCTTTCTGTCAGAGGCCATCAGGTTTTTATTTAAAATGTCCTGGTATTTTAAAGCGTTCATAATGCCATGCACCCTAACAAGATTCCCAGGGCATTTGGAAGAGAAACAGGCCCACAGCATCACAGATCCTCCACCGTACCTCATGTTAGTGAGAAAAGACTTTTCCTTGCATGCCTCCCAAACAGCTTGTTGGCATGTAAAGAGCATCTGATGGGTGTTTTGGAGACTTTTTGACCCCAAGATTCCACTCTTTAATGCAATTCTGTGACAGTGATCTCTTACTTATTTTTACTTCTCTTACCATCCTCCTCACTGTGCGTTGTGGCAAGATAAGCTTGGGACTTCTTCCAGCCTTGTTTGTCATTGTTCCAGCTGTTTTAAACGTCTTAATGATTCCTCTGTTACAGGGCAAGTTAAGGCAAGTGGCTATTCTTGTCTTTGGGTAACATAACATGTCTGTACTCGTATTTTTCATCGTCATATTTGTCAGAGTAGTCGATCTGTTTGTTCTCTTAACTTTACCCTGTTAACTAATGGGTAAGAGAATGAGGCCTATGCATCACGTCATATGTATACCTCGGGGAAACAGAATTACTAATTAAACGTTCCTAGATACCCTGACCAACTTTAGCAACTATAGAAAAATATATATTCAATCAATTAGAATTTTCAGTGGAATTGTTAGAGGTGCCAATAACTGTGGGAAACATTATTTCACGTTTTTTATTTTCTAAATGTGTGATTTTATTTTTTACAACCAAAGTATTGTACTTGAATAAAAGGTTGGATATTTATTTTTTTGCATTTGGGTTCTATGTTGTTGTTTTTTTTAAAAAGGAGAATTGTTAGAAGTCCTGGAACACATCTTAAAAAGGGGTGCCAATAATTGTAGAGGGCACTGTACATCTGCCAATGCCCGTTACAAGAAGAATATTGATACTCACAGATATACCTATATTACGTAAGAATTCAAACTAATAGCTGATATATTACCAGTTTTCCTCAGTTTTCTTGATAATACCCTAAATTGCCTAAGTTCTTCCATCAATAGCTGTGACACATTTCTCCTTAAAACTTCACTCACCTAGGATGAAGAGTATGAGGAAACAATCTCTGCTGCCTTCACATGGAGGTAACATTTTATGTTACTGATAGTTCACATTTCTTAACATTCTGGTGGAATACAGTGGCATTCAGCCAACATATTCTCATCCTTGTTAACAGAGCATTGCTAGCAGCAGCAGGAGGGTCCCTCAACTTCAGCTGCAGAGATAAATGCTCCGTGAACACAAAAGGGTCATTCTGTGAAATTCATATGCATTGGAATGATACAAAAATAACTTTTGTATTTAAAATTAAGAAGAGCAAATTAAATTTGTATTATGCTTTTATTACTGCTGTGGTGGTGATGATGTAACTTAAAGTGAGAGTTCGATCCTGGCAGATGGTGTCTCTCTCTACTCTCCTATCCTGGATAGCTAGCAGGTGGATGATGTGGTCATCAGGGTCTTCAGTTTTCAGGACAGGGTGCTGTTCTCCTCTAATCTTAAAAGGAAATAAATTACTAATCCAATGCTGAGGTTGCTGCACAACATCATCAAGAAAATATAAGTTAGAATTAATCGTACAGATCATTTACCTGCAATCCAGTGGAAGTCCGCCTTGATGGATGTGTTTATTCCCTGGGAAATTAACAATTTCCCACTAACTGCTCTGCACACTGTTGCTTTATTGTCTTACCATTTATATATTTTTTTAAAACTACAATTTCCAAAAAGAAAAAAAAGGAAGAAAAAAAACGCAACGCTACAATGCTGTAATGCTGCAAATGTATGGACGAATAAGATGATTATTGTCTGGAAACTAAAGAACGTCTACAGGCGCTCTGATAACTCTCTACCGACGAATATTTGATTTTTAGAATTAATGCAAAATTATGATAAACTCTCCCGACTGAATGAGGAAATTAAATGGCGTGCATGGTTTAAAGAGGGCGGGGATAGAAGATACTGTGAGTTTAACGAAGAAAACCTGCTCCCAACCAGGTTAGTTCCTAAGAGAATGTTGCTAAGGCAATAGACACAGAGGTGGAGTAATCTCTCTTTGTATAATGGAAAACTCAGTGTTTTCCTCATTTCAGAGTTAACACAGTTTTCATAAAACCTGCTTTGAGAATCGGACCCCTGGATTTGGTGTCATGCCAAGCCTAATAAGACTGTGTTGATCAAAATCATATTTTGTCCCTATGGGCCTGTGACCTTTTGTTGCATTACGTGGACTCATGGAGTCTGAAAAATGTATAAAAATTAAGGTGATAATATCTTTAAATAGTGTTACTCATCTACTCTCTAGAACGATATCACTTGTACTCTTAAACTATAAATGTTATTTTCACCAAAGACTATTGTAGTGGAAAAAATGCCAATGCTGTGTGATGTCTTGAAACACTGATAACACTCAAATCAGATAAAACCACAAAACAGGGAAAACAACAAATTTATTTAACAATTTGCATAGATCAAGGGCCTTGCAGATTATCTGACACACAGTATTCTTGCTCAGATGTTCAGCATCAATGATGGAACAGAGATATTGTCCACAAGCAAAATGTCTGAGCACAAGGCATATTATCTGTTCCTTTGTGAGGGCCGAATATGTGTAATATTGCCAACTTCTGCCTCGATCAGCTGACGTAGGTAGTGAATTCTCTCAGCTCAGAATCTATGTCTTTCATGCAGAAAATCGTCTGGGCAGGTCAGCAGATTCTGGTGATCCCTGAAGACCCTCGCTCTGCGCAAAGAGCCCCCCACAATTTGTGCGCCCTTATCGCACATATGCAGGTATCCAGGTATGATCGCATTGTTTTCAGAAAGATTGTTGGTGATGGGCTGGTACTTATAAAGGAAGTGGTTAAGTGGAAAATACTGGAGTTAAACATAGCAGAACCTGCTCGGACCAGGTTTGAGAGTTAGAGTGAATTGCCATGGCAGTCTTGATCGAAACATATTCACCTTTTGTAGTACGGGTTAGTCAGGAAGTAACTCCTCATGTGATCAAGTTACTCTCAAAGTTACCGTGATAATTCGTTGAACCTGCTTCGAAGGTGTGTCTATGGGGTTGGGTTGGGTGAGCGGTATTGTCTTTCAGGAGAGTGGATGAACGACATGGCTGTCACCTGCAGAACTCATATGGAAACAATCATGTAATTTGGGTTCTGGTGATTTAAGGAGCTGTGGGACAATCATTCATTGTCTGATGCTCTAACTATTTAGGGTAGAACTCAAGCCAGTTTGGGATCCTTAAGACACAGTCTGTGTCTTGTTTGTATTACTGTTAACGCTGTGTCTGGTTGTACTGTGAGATTTAACTCACCGCCTTTGAAACGTCCACATCAACCACATCCCTCCAGCAGACTGTTCAGCATCTGGACCTGCAGCTGCCACCTGAAATTTTTCATCCTTGCTTATGTCCGCACTCCATCTGCCTCAACCTCCAAACCTGGCTCCACCCAGCCCCCTCAAGCCACTCTTCTGGGCCTGCTTTGATACCTGCTGTATCTGCAGCTCTGACTGACTGCTCTGACTCCCCCCCTTCAAATGAATCTCTTTGTGCAACGACTCAGGTTCTGAGTGTGCTTTTTTGCATGTGGGTTAGGAGGCTTCCTACAACCATGACACACAGGGGCTTGAGACTACAAGCTTCCATTAGGGCAATAGGCAGGGTACACTAAATGGGAATAATAATTTAGCAAATGTAGACAATAAGAAATAACATGAACATTCCTGATTTTAAACGTAATGGATGTTTTGCTTATCAGTATCACTGACATCAAACTCATAAATAAATAGTGAGCGATTTCAGGAATTTCAATGTTATTTATTATAAAAACTTCAGACAGGATGAACTTCTATTCATAATGACATAAGATCCATACCAGCCCAAAATCCAATGTACAGTACACAGTCAAGTATTTATGTTTTTAGTATGCACAAGTGAAAATTTACAAGGTAAACAGATCAGCAAAATTTTGTCTTAGGAGTCAATTTGGAATGCAAAGCCTTTCGATTTTTGCCATGGTCAAGGAGGCAGCATGATTGGTAAATTAAATAAATAAATAAATACATAAATGGCACATGATAGAATTTGTGTCTTTTCTTTTTTAAAAACCTTTCCTTCCTTCTTATCAAATACTCTTCAAGAAAAAAAACTTCATTCTTAACGTAGAACAAGAATTCATTTTTGAGGGGACTTGGTATATTCCAAGAAATTCAACTTGTACTGCCCATCCGCTGCAGCACATTGCAATTACACATTGTATAAATCTAACAGAAACAGCAACAGTAGGCCACAATCACAGACAAGGCTTATTCTGAAGTGCCTACAGATGACATTTGTTGAGATTTGATGATAGATAAATTGGAATCTATCTTTGGACGAGGGGCATACTTTTTGTTTCAGGATGTTGCCAGTAATTTTAGCACCTTCACTTTTCTGACCCAAAGCACAGGAGAATTATTCTGCCAAGTTGATAGGTCAAGAACAAGCTAAATCAAAGTTGTACTAGGATATTTTGGGGGGAAAAAATAAACTATTTGCGAAAGAGAGAGCTTTTTTATGTTCTGTGCTGTGCTGGTATTGAGTGTTTACAGACATACACATACTAACAAACAGCACTCAACAAATTCTGCAACCACCATCAATCCATTCCCATTTGCAGATACAGCACATGTACCATTCAGCACAAGTAGGGTAAAAACTCTGATATCAGTAGATAGTCTGAATCAGCACTCCCGCTGTCAATCGGGAAAAGAAAAAAGACACTGAATTCATTTTAAAATAATTTGTCTTCGGCACAAAAAAGAACCAAAACAAACATATATAAATCCTTTTAGACTTACATGTTTTTTTATTGTAGTAAGGCATAGTTTTGTTGTTTTTTATATCATAGCAGGATTACCTTTAATTGTTAAAGTCCCATGTGAGTTTTCTTTTTGGTTGGAATGATTTAATTCACAGAAGAAATATCAGTTTTGATGTCCTTACGAGTCAGATTCCGACTATAACAAACAGATGAACCTCACCAGCACACACTCGAAATCCAACATGCCTGACTAGTTGATAAGAAGCAGTGATAGTTACACAGGGCTTCTGTTAATTTTTACGTCTGTATGTGTTAAGTCGCAGTAGCATGTAGCACTCCAATATCTGTCAGCAAACACATGCTACTGTGCTGTGTCGGTTTACTCACTACTTTATCAACTTAATCAATTTGAAATTTTAATTAAGTATTAAGCTGGTATAAAAATAAAACAAATTAACAAATCAGCCTAAGATATTAAGTCAAAACTGCATTTAAAAAAAATCAAAGCCAGGCATCTTACTAATTAGGTCTAGTCTGTAAATTATTGTATGTTTGTACAGAACAAATTGTAGATGACAACTTTTAGGGTCGAACTAAATGAGAATAGGTTTTTCACATTTCTGGATGACATTTTTTCAGTACTGCCAACATTAAGGTAATATTTAAAAAAGTATTCACCTGTGTACCAACTACAAAATACAGTTGTACAAAATATAGTATAAACTCACCTTAAATAATCCTCTCCTTGAGAGAAAAACATACATTTTAGAAGACGTCCTCTCTCCCTTATCAGTCTAATAACAGACTTCATTGGAAAAACAACAAAAATGCAGCTGTTGAGTTGCATCGACCCTTATGAACTACAAAACAAAAAAGCAATGTTGTGTGGGTTGCTTGCTTTTTCTGGCAGCAGTAGCCTCTGTGTACTTGTTTGATTCTCTATGGCAATTTTACTTTTTCTGTTGATTTATGAGGGCAACCCTTTATTTTGATCTTCCATGTTTGTTTACTCCATTTTTTTTATGCAGGAGGCCATTTATGGAGCTAAGTGAAATTAAGAAAATAGACTTGGACTACAAGCTAGTTCAGCAGTTCCAATCTCTATCACTCAGATTTTGAAATAAATAAAAAAAACAATATCCTCTTGTTCTTCATGTAAAACAAAGTAAACTTGTCATAGAGCTTTTGGGAAGGTTTGCAGTAGAGTGATCCTCCACAATATGCTCTTAAAGAAAAAAAAAGAATAATATCGAAATAAAAAAAGCACTTAGGTGTTCTTTGGATGGTATTAAAAGAACATCCATCCATCCATTTCCCTTTGCCAGTTTTTTATTAGTAGTACAAGGGTCACAGGGGGTGCAGGAGCCTAATCAAGCCATCACTGGGCAAAGTGTGTTTTACACCCTGGACAGATAATCAGTCCAACACAGGGCCAACCAATGAAAAACAGACATATGCACTCACATTCATTCCTCTATAACATGCATGCTGAGGAGTACCTGAAGTACCTGGAATACCTTTGCTGGTGCTGCTGTGTGCAGCACCAGCTCCGTGAAAAAACATGAACCCCAATTACTTTAACTTTTTTGCTTGAAAGACAATATTAACCCAAATATGAGTAGCGTTTTTAATTTGCAGGACTGCAACATTTAAGTACAAAACAACTAACAGGATTTTTTAAATTATTTCAAACAGCACTTAGTGCTCATGAATGGATGATTACATTCTTTTATCTGAATAAAAACCTAAGTAAGTTGCTGCCACCTCTGTGTCTAACAGAATCTTTAAAACTTTACTGTTTTCAATTTTAAACTGTATTGTCCAGCTTGGAATCAGGATCACCATATTAGCTTTCACAAATACAACTAATCTGCCCAACTATTCAAACCAGAAAGGGCAGTTTCTGCAAAACAGCTGTGAGAATGCCTAATACTGAAGGGAGGCACCAGAAAATGCCAAAAAAAAGCAGACAAAGACAGAAACATAGAAACCATCGGCATGGGAGAACACACTGAAATGTGGCAAAAAGTCAGTGGAAACTGCACGAGTAGGTGAGTTATACAGATTTCTGTATTCCCCTTGTGACTGCATAGACTAAAAAAATGCATATGAAAGTGAATGGAATAGCGTGACCTCTAGTTTATAGCACTTTGAATCATCGGTTTGAATAGAGTAATTATGTTGTGTGGAGTAAAACAAATAGAATTCTTAAATGTCAGTGTTTTTTCTTAACTCCACTACATTTGTTCTACTTTAATAATATAAGTTATGGCAAACCTAAAACATGTTTTTTATTATACTTATTAACTTTTTCTGAAAAGTGCCAAAATCTATTAAGGTACTAACCAAAGCAAAAGCTACTGCAGCAAAACTTGAATAACATCAATATTCAGATACTCTGATGTTTGTTTTTTTACTTTGATAGCTACTACTGTCATGATGATGCAGTAAGTCAACTGTGAAAAACAGATTCAAGGATATTATTACATCCAAATCATCATTCTAACTACTAAGTATAAGCTGCAGAATTCCCCTTTCTTCATACTTCTGTATTTTTTTCAATTCTGGGCTACATTCTGAAATATATGAAGGAGCATCCACCATAAGGCCATCTCTCTCCCAATGTTAGCTCCAGGCACCAACTAGGAATAAGGGGTATAGATAATGGATGGCTGGATAGATGGCATCCACCATAGATATGCAACGTTACCTCTAAGGTAACTTTTATCCATCCTGTTGTGACTACTTTTCCTTTATAGTAAGTTTAAAAATGCGATGATTTCCTGAAAAAATTGACAATCACTGGCTTTGGAACTAACATTAAAACTGCAAAGTAACTATTTCATAGAATCATCTACAGACAGAGTGTTAGAAATTTTGTTGGCTGTATGAACGCCTTTAATACAATGCAATAAATCAGTGTAATGGGTGATGTTGCTAAACGCAAAATGTCATATGAGCCTGAAAATCTAATAATTTATCCCTGGAGCTCTTGGATTTTTGCATCACATATAACATATTTGACATCAATAGATAAGAAAAAGGTATTTGACAAACCACAGAGAGATAATGTCAATATGGAAAAACTCAGCAAGACAAAAGCTCTCAGTCACATTTAATTTTTACAAATATCCTGTGCTCTTCTCGATATCAGAAAAACATTAAATATTTTTTTCAACAGGCAACCAACAGAGAACATTAAATAAATTTTACTATTGCTGCTTGCAGCAATAGTGCATACGACAGATCAAAAATAAGTATAATAATTAAGTCAAAGAAATTGGGTTTTGTTGGTGCATTGGCCTTGTGTATGTGGCCATGGCTGTGTCCATACAGTCCCTAATTGGGGCAAATCTATGTTATCCAGAGGCTGCCTCTTTTCTTTTAAATCAACAGTTGCAGCATATATACTTCACTACATCTATGTAGTGTTGTGTACATCCATTCTTTCTAACCAGCACTTGCTGTTGTGTATATGTAATTGTTAATGATGTTTAGCTTTACTAAGCACTTCCATACTCTCTGCTGCAGCAGGAGTAACAGAGTTCAGTAAGTCATAATGGTGAAACAAAGAAAGCTTTTCTTCAAAACACTGAAATAAACCAAGCAACAGCTGGCAATGTTAAACAGCAGTTATAGTTAAAAAGTACTTAAGAGTCAAATCTGGAGACATAATTTTACAGGGCATTCTTGGGGAAGTGATAACCCATAGATTCAGAAATTAACCTAACACAGACAAGCATAGTGGGTTCCAACTCACCACACTGAGAGTGAAGCAAAGAAAAGAGTAGTTTTATAAGTTGGCAGAGTTTCGATCAAGGGGAGGAGAGATAAGCTTAGCTCCCACTATTTATTGGAGTCAGGGTGCTAGGCTGCCGTTTGCATAAACTAAAGCAGCCTGCTATGTCAGCAGTTTGTTTAAACACTTAAGGAACGTTTTCAAATTGTTTTATTTAAGACCTGTTTTTTCTCAGGATAATCTCCTGTTTTTCCCTTGAAGGCCAGCTTCAACCACACATTTCAGTTTTTGCATGCATTTGGTCCTTTTAGCCAACATTCCCATCTTATCTGGGCTATCCATGTCTGTTATCTTAACATCCTTCAGCTAATACCCAGTCAAGCACACATTAGCTTGATAATCACTGCTTACCAATCAGCAGTGAATATATGATGATATAAAAATCAAGCAAATCAGATTTTTTAAAATCAAGTTTGCTTCCAAAACTCTTTAAGTCATTTGAAGCCTCACTTTAAACAAGGTAGCCCTTGTTTATAAGCCTCTCCTATGTTGTCCATTAGTCCATCCGCAGGTAGCTAGGTATGGAATAATTGAACATGAGAAAGTCCAACCTGTAAAGCTGGAAAAGCTGGATCTGCTCTTGAGTACTAATATTGCTGAAAAACTGAGCAGTCATGGCATCTGTGGTGCGAGTAGACTTAGCATAGCTTGGGAAGCGCAGAGAATCAGTGACACCCACTAGTTGCAACACATAGTTTGCATCGTTCTCTAGAGTCTCATACTTGCCTACCATGTCATAATGAATGTGACAAGGGTGACAAAGCTGGTAGACCGTCTGCCAGTGCTCGTTGAGAGGGCCATCACGATGCGTGGCTGGGTCCACTAAATACTCAACAAATTCTTTGAATTTGACATCATCACCATTGAGAAGGGCATCTTGTGTTGCATTCTTGCGGTAGCGCCTAATAATGCGGGTACCAAAACGCTTGTGAAAAGATGAGTTGTACTTGAGCGTAAATTTATTGCGGTAGGCAGACACCAGCCTCTCAAAGGGCTCACGAACAAAGAGGAACTTGAGGTAGTTTTTAAGGCGGTGATTGATCTCAGCAATGCTGTATTGATTCAGTGTCTTCAGGTTTGAAGGAATATGGGCTTCATTTGAAGGGATTTCCATAGGGTCACTGTGAATGAGAGGTTCAAGGACAATTACAGACAACTGCTGGTAAATATGTGCTGGTAACAGAATAAAAAAAGATGAGGGTAGGAGATTTTGGATGATCCCTTACCAAAAACAAAAATATTCACAGTAATAGAGTTACTTGCAGTTCTAAACAGTTTTGTTTTAGTAAGCATAACCTTGCACATTTTATCTGCCAAAAACTGAGAGGTGGTGGACTCACCTATATTTGCCATGACCTGTGAGTACCATCATAACTCGTTTCCAATTGGTACAAGCTACCTTTGGGACATAACAGTAAATGAGCTCATGGTCTTCGTCCACCACAAGATGTTTGAGGTCTCCAGGAGTCAATACACGTCGCTTTCGACTTGATGCACTGTAGACCCTGCAGGCATCCACTACCTGATCCCTTCTCGCCTGGTGGAGGATGGCAGTACCTGACAGGTCAGACTTGAAAAGGAAAGACATAAAAAAGACATGATCACATGATACTTCTATATTAATCAAATAAAAGGGACATGTATTGCTGCAGTTTTTGTATAATTATGCTGCTTACAGTTGGAGTGATGACAAAACAAAACATAAAAGAAGGCCCATTTTGTTGACTTGAGGGTAAAAAGTGTTTACCATTTGAAACCCAAGGCAACCAGACACTTATACAGAAGATCTTAAGATCTTATACCTATAAGAAGGGCTAGATGTCTATGTAAGAAACATTGAGCATTTCATGTAATTTGTCATTTTACTGTCACTGACATACATGTAATGTTTGAAGTAAAAAACAAAACAAAAAGCAACTAGTCATTTGGGTTGGTTGGCTTGACATTCTGGAATGACAATTCAGTCAATGAATGTTTAATATTTTTAATGTATTTTTCTGAAATGCAGAAGTGTAAACAAGATTTAAAACTTTTAAAAATGCCTTCGAGCAGCTGCGGGGGTCATGAAAAATTCAACACTCTTTCATGAAATCTCATGAAATCAGCTACACAAAATGTGTGATTAGAAGTGACAGATGGTAATATATGCAAATAAAAAAAGTTAAATGAACTAGATAAAGAGCTGTTCCTGCGAAACAGCTGTGAGAATGCCAACAGCTGAATGAAGAGAGCAAAAGAGTTTATAGTAAAAAGGCTGAAGACAGCACAAGACAGCACTAAGGAAGCAGAAGAGGCCAAAGAAAAGCTGAAACACTCTTAGAGTCTAATTGGATAAAGGCTGAAGTTAGGAATAATAACCCATAGGAAAACTGAGGAAAAGCTGAAATTTCAATGATTTTAAAACTGCCATATTTAAAAAACGGCTGAATATTTTTAAGAGAAAAGTAATAGATGGGAGAACATGCAAACTCCATCCAGAAAGGTCCTGGTTCCCCCCAGGATTCAAACCCAGCACCCTCTTGCTGGGAGGCAACAGTGCTAACCACCACACCACCATGCCATGTATTTGAGGAGATAGCTCAGGGCTGAGAGTAGATCAGTTAGTCGTCATAGAAACAGCCCCACCTGGCTTCAATTACACATGCACGGTCTCTGCAAAATGCTTGCTCAAGAGCCAAAAGTTCCCCTCACATTCTGACCTCTTGAGCCAAAACTATAAGAGCCACGTTAATTCTGAGGACACCGTGAGCGTCTGGAGAGACTAGGGATCGTGATAGTGTTGTTATTTTTTAAATTGAACCAGAAATGGCCCAACGGGAGCGATTTCAAAATAGGAGACTTTTCAGAGATGAACAAGCTGTCAGTGAGATTTTTGAATGGATTTTCAATGTAATCTTGGTGGTAGAGCTCTGGCTCTGAGGCTCATAGTTCAAAATCTGAAAGGTTGAAGGCTTTGAAAGTTACATTGGGTGAAAGAGGACAGATTTTCCTACGTTTTAAGGTATAATTGGTGTATGAAGGCTGAAGAGTGTGGAAGTAATCTGAAGGAGTTTGAAGAAGTGGAAGAGTGGCTGAAACGCTAGAGTGTGTCACATGACTTCTTTGATCTTCTGCTCTAACTTGGTCCCATAGGAAGCCATAGGAAAAGCTGAAATTTCAATTATTTTAAAACTGCCATATTTCGAAAACGGCTGAATATTTTTAAGAGAAAAGTAATAGATGGATAGCTGAATGGCGTGAGAGCCATATAAAAGTTGAATTTTGTTTCTAGCTGAAAGTAGGCTGAAGTAGTTAGGTCGAAGTGGGTCAAAGTTTTAGACGGAGTTGAAGATTTCTCCATTCATTTCAATGAGAGAACACCAAACAGAAAAAGTTAAATAACTTAAAAAGTTGAAAAGATATGAACACCAAAAGTAATAGCAGCTATGTGCTGAAGGAGCTGAACATTTTGATACCTTATTTGTTGAAATCGGCTGAAAGGTGTAGGCGGAGTTAGATGCACAAAAACGTACGGAAGAGAAACAGGAAAGGTATAGTGAGAATGCCTGCAGGCATTCTCACAATAATGAAATAAAAACATCTTAGGGGGCACACAGAGCACACTATGACAACAAAGGTTTTAATATTCTATATTAACTGCTCCTTGTATATCTGTTTCAACCTACTTTCCTTATGAGGCATATCTGACATCCATCCATTATCGTTACCACTTATTCCCTAATGGGGTCGCGGGGAGAACTGGAGCCTATCCCAGTGGTCAATGGGTGAGAGGCAGGGTACACCCTGGACAGTCCGCCAGTCCATCGCAGGGCCACACATAAGACATACAAGGACAAAAAAAAACACCCACGCTCCCATGGGAAATTTGGAATGTCCAATCAACCTATCATGCAGGTTTTTGGACTGTGGGAGGAAGCCGGACAACCCGAAAAGAACCCAAGCAGACACAGGGAGAACATGCATACTCCACACAGAAAGGTCCTGGTTCCCCTAGGACTTGAACCCAGAACCTCCTTGCTGGGAGACAACGGTGCTAACCACCACACCACCACCCTCATTTCTGACATTCAAAGTAAAAACAAGAAGGTGGTGCAAACCCATTCAGGTAGGAGGTAGAAATAATAGAGGTACAGATAAAAGAAAGAAGGGATTCAAACCCTGGTTCAGGAAGGGGGTGATGTAGGTATAGAGGGTGCAGGAGGTGGTTAACTCATCCAAACAGCAGACAAAATGCCGAACAACAATCACACTCAGCTAAAAACCTGGTAAAAATATTAAACAGGAACAACACAAACAAGGCCACAGGGGCCAACTAACCTAAGATGCCCATCAGCTTTCAAAGGGCTTAGTCTGACTCTTCATTCCAACTACATGAACTTCCTCTTCCTGGATTTCTTCCTTGTCTTTCACAGGTCGGTCTATCCTAAGTGCTGGGACCTACAAACTAATACTCCTAATCCAAATCCACTAACAGGGCCTTACTGCTTCATCTGACATGTCCTTCACAAACTTCTTCAACATGGGAGAGAAGCTTTTACACAAAATCCCCTGCATCCTGTTCCCACTGCACAAATCTTAACTTTCCATCCTCTCTGCCGAACTTCTGCCCCTAATTCTAGATGCCTAATTCTAGCTTATTCCTTTCTTATGCTTCTTCTGCTTAGTCATTCCAATGATCAGTCAGCTCTATGAAGTAGAACTCACACACTCTTGCCACACTCATTGCCTTAGACCCTCCTAAATTTTCTTAGCCTCTGCTTGTCTGCAATACCTGCAGCTAAGCTTCTTAATACCTGGTTATGTCTGCATGTATACCGGTTTTGTGAAAGACTAACCCTTACAGCCTGACAAATTTGTAGCAGCCCGCTACAAATACTAAATAGACCTAAAGTCATTAAGATCAACAACAAACCAACTTACCTAAGTTAGCTACTTGGTTTAAATGATAATTAAAGAGTATAACACAAGAATATATCTGCCCTTTGACTTATAGAGGCTATTTCTTGGGGAACAACAACCTTTCTTCCTAAATCTATTTGCATGTCCCAATGACAAGCATCCTCTAAATTGCCTTGCTTCCTTACTACCTTTTTATCTTTCTACCCTTCTCAAACAAGCTGAGCTGCCACTCTCTTTGCCTCATATCCTCCTAAATTAACCTGCCTTTGCTTGTCTGCAGCTGAGCTTCTTAATGCCTGATTATGTCTCCGCATATACCAGCCTTGTAAAAGAGCCTTGTATCCATCAGAGTTGCAGAACCTTATAAAGAACGTAGCAGGTGTCCTTTTGCCCCAGGTTTTAGGTTCTTGGGAGTTGGCAATAAATAAATAAATTTATAGCAATAAATCATACATTACCCCTTTCAAAAATCTAATCTTATTTTCCTCCATACTCCACATTTCCATCCATCCATCCATTTTTGTTACCGCTTATTCCCTAATAGGGTCGCAGGGGGCACTGGAGCATATCCCAGTGGTCAATGGGTGAGGTACACCCTGGACGGTTCGCCAGTCCATCACAGTGCCACACAGAGACATACAAGGATGAACAACCACACACACTCACAAGGGCAATTTGGAATGTCCAATCAACCTAACATGCAGTGGGAGGAAGCGAGAGAGAGAACCCACGGAGACACAGGGAGAACATGCAAACTCCACACAGAAAGGTCCTTGGTCCCCAGAACCCTCTTGCTGTGAGGCGATGGTGCTAACCACCACACCACCGTGCCGCCCTACTCCACATTATTTACAACAAAGGTTTTTCTTCTCAACACCTTCTCAATTCACCCACTGTCCCTACTTAGCCAGAGCCACTGCATTTGTATCCATTAGCATTTATTCCTGCCAACAAACCTCCTCCACAACAAGTTTTCTCTTCTCTTTAGGACCCGCTCTGCTCGACACCTTTTTGCCAAGCCAGAAGCCTCCCGAACATATTTGACCATTATCCACGATGTATGCTTAAGACATGCTTCTGCCTCCTGACCTGCCATTCTTGGATTTCATATCCTTCCCTTGTTGGGTTTGGAATAACATTACTAACTGCATCTTTACTGTATTTGTGTACCTGCACAAAAAAAAAAAAACTTCCCCGCTGGATTTTTAAGACAGAAATAATTCAAGTCTAAGGACTTTTTCTCCTATGGTATAAGGATGCATCCTGCACAGTAATAATCTGTTTCTCCTAAACCATTTTGCCACAACAAGAACTTAAGTAAAGCTGGGCATACACTGTGTGATTGTTCATAGCTCCAGCTCAAAATGCACGACCAAATCATAGGGGTTAAAAAGTTCACAGCTCACGACCGGTGGCACTCCCATTACAACTAATGAAGACATTCGAATGGCTCTTCCTTAGACTCCTCAGACATCAGGACCTCCCGCAGTCTTCCTACCAACCAGATGTTGGTGTGGAGGATGCCATCCTCTACCTCCTACATCAGGCCCACTCCAAGACTAATGATGATCAGATAATAATGATCAAACTTCACCAATCTTCAGTCCACAGAGATGGACCACACAGGGTTTCTTCACTTTCCCATCACTCTTTGCCATTTTCATTTAATCTTTAGCAGCTACAATCAAACAAGAAATAAATATGAAATACATGCAGCCCAAGAATGCCGAGCACAAAATCAGCCTTCATGCGGATTATGTATTACATATGTATGTTCACATTCACCCCAAAAAATACTACAAGAATGCATTTTATTATCTAACGAAATGTATGGAATCAATTAGCTAATCACTCTCCCCTTGCTAGAAACAAGCGTGGTGGACCTTGACAGGAACGACCGCAGAGCAGGATCCAGACATGACAACATCAGAATTGTGCGCATGTGTATGTCTGCACAAATAAAAGGACATCACCCAAAACAATGTCTTTGAGAGTCTGTCGAGACACCCATAGTGGCGAAGACTTCCACAACTGCCGCCCGACGTAACCTCGACGGACGAGCGGGGAGAGGTATGACAGAACCACAGAAGCCAATCACAGCGTTGGCCAAAATGCTGGCGGAGATCGCCACAATTAGACTGCCACACTCAAATGTTTCTTTAGATGCGCGCCATGTATTTGATGACTCCAGTGCCAGTCTCACAGAGTCTATTTACTCTGCACATTCTACTGTCATTCTACTGTCCATCTTCAGGAACAAAAAATTCTTTAATCAAAACTTCACAATGACAGTTTCAGCATAACATGTATAACAGGTAGCTGACAGGATTATAACACAGGAGGTTTTGTGATATAATATATTAACTCAGACTTGAAAGCCAATGTTGCTCAATTATGGACAGTCTTCATGGATAGGAAGCTGTACCATTGAGGTAATTTAGTACCTGTAAAATCACTTTTCGTGAAATTACCCATCTAATAAAAGCAATTGCAGTATCCTTTATTTTTAACACAATGCCTCTTAAACATACACTGTACCTACAATGCTCTAATTGTGACGTTCTGGCTCTGGAGCTGGCCCCACCTACCGTCTCTCTTTTGCTCAGCCTCCACACTCCGCAATCAACCGTATTGGAATCACCTGTCACCACCTACACTTAAGCTCCGTCCCAGCCAGCCTCCAGTGCCAGAACGTCTCGAGCCATTTGGTAAGAACTTCCAGCGATGTCCTAGTTATTCTGCCTGCCTGATTCCAACCTGTTTTGCCTACGATTCCCGAGTCTGCCTGATCCCTGTCTGACCTGTCCGCCTTCCTGAGTTCTGCTTCGCCAGTCTCTGGATCCTGTCTGCCTGCCCGTGTACCGACCCCGCCTGCCCGTGACTCCGAGTTCCTGCCTGCCCCTTTGGACTGCTTCCCTGGCTCTGACCCTCGACCGGACCTGGACCACTGTTTGGATTACCCCTGGTACCGTCGCTGGAATTGGATTACCTGTTGCCGAACCTGGACTCCCCTGAACACGCCCCCGGACTGCCCCACATTCCTGAAATAAACTCTGTTAACTGACCGTTCCGTCTCTGGGTGTATTTGGGTCCAAATCAGTTCGTTACACTAATTCTCTTATAAACATACTGAGTGTTTCATCCTTCATAGCAAAGTATAAACTGATATGAACATGTCACCGTGACAAAAATTCTCAATATATACATATATATATATATATATATAATTTTTATCTAGCTTTTAATACTTTACCCAAACCAATGCAAGCACACTTGTGGAGATAAGACACAACTAAAGGTGATATTAAGGATAAAAAAATGTCTAAATCTAAGTCTCAGATATACACTGGAGAGTTATTACTGAATTAAAAAAGGGGAAATAAAACACAAAGTCTATAGGCACAAAAATCTAGATTTAGGCTACAAATCTTTCTTGATTCATATATTTCCATCTGGATTGGGGTTTACTCTCATGGTTTATGCTCAATCATCACATGAGGATAGTAAAAAGAATCTGCAAAGCTGATTTTTTCATCCATCCATTTTTATATACCGCTTATTCCCAATGGCGTGGCGGGAGGGCTGGAGCCTATCCCAGCATACAAAGAGCAAGCGGTGGTCCACAACCTGGATTGTCCATCGCAGGGCCACATCGAGACACACAAGCACAAACAACAACATTTACTCCTAAGGGCAATTCTGAATGTCAAATAAACCTAACATGTATGTTTTTGATGGTGGGAGAAAGCTGGAGTACCCGGAGAAAACCCATGCAGACACAGGGAAAACATGCAAACTCCACACAGAAACGGGGACTTGAACCTGAAACCCTCTTGCTGTGAGGCGACGGTGCTAACCACCATATCAGCATGCTGCCCATGCTTACTTTTTCATGGATACAACATATAAGCAAGCCAAAAATGAAAAGCAAAACATTTTACCCTTTTAAAGTATGTTGCGTATATTAACATCATATATAGCTTATTGTCATAGTGATGAGAAATGTAATATTGTGTCTACTCTGTAAGTCGCTTTGGATAAAAGCGTCTGCCAAATGCATAAACATAAACATTGCTACAGTTATAGGTTTTTATTAATCCGAAAACCTGCCTTCCAAGCAGTTGACCTGGGTTCGATTCCCGGCCAAAACAGCTCCTCCCTACCCTGTAAGTCGCTTTGGATAAAAGCGTCTGCCAAATGCATGAACATGAACATGAACATGACGATCCTACAAGTTGTAAGTATACAATTCAAACTGTTTCCAGACAGACATGGATGCACAACTCTCACTTGAGTACTTCCTTCAAGACTTCTGGCACTGTTGTATCACTGGAACTTCACATGAATATTGCCTATGCAAAATTAGCCTACAGTGAATCCATTTGAATGTGCTCTAATCTTAGCTGTCCAGAAAACCACTTTTTGCCTCCAATGATTTTAACAGAGGCAAAGTCATAAATAATTGCACTCCCGTAGAGTTTTCTCTTGCAGACTGCTATCATTCAATATCTGATATACACTGGAGTCAGATAGGACTCAGCAGGTATAATTGTTTGGTTAATAAACAAGGAAAGTTAATATCAAACTTAACACATTAATGTATGATATGAATACATCACAAATTAAGTTAAGCTTGACGTTAAATGGGCCAACAACTCACAGGGGGCTTGACTTCCTAAACCTTTAACTGCAAGCTGAGGAGCAGTAAACAAATAGAAAACTCAACACCATTTTAAATCACATCAGTCTACAAAGCAATAAGCTGTTTAAGTATGGCCTGTTATAGCAAATATTCCTTGTAAGAACTTTAGTTAATCTAAGTATTTATAATGAGTAAAACATATATTTTAACCAAAAATACATTTAGATCTGGAGGTGAAGGGGAAAAAATACGATATATCTATTGTTATAGCATTGTGGCAGTTGCCTGTTTGGTTTTGATACTATCACAAATTCAACATCCTGCAGACAAATAGATATAAAGATGAATAAATTCCCCACAAAAGTCCTAAAAATGTTTATTTTTTGCTATCTATTGCTGCTCTAAGGGGTGCTGTCTGTATGCACATGTATGAAGACAACTGAACATATCAGATAGAAAATCAAAGAGGGTTTCTACCTGTAAGGGGTTGTACAATTCCTGAAGGGCATTGCGAGACCCTTTCCTACAGCAGCTGTCGGCCATGAACGGGTTTCTCCGCAAGACTGCAAAGGACATAGAAGCATAAACATTGACTAAAACAAATCAGATAGTTAAAGATAGATAAAAGCATCAATTTTCTACATCACTTATTTCCAAAAGGGTTGCGGGGGGGCTGGAGTCTCTCCCATCATTTATGTATTTTGAACATACTCCAAAACACAATAAGAGTTGTGTTTTGCTTTGACATACTTCATAGATTTAAAACATATAATCTTATTTTGCAATCACATAGCATATTGGACAAAACAAAAGCATGTGCATATATATGGGTTAAGACCTGGAGAATCACACAATTAATCTATCACATTGAGATATAAAGACCTTTTATTTTTTGAGAGCTATACTCATGTTTATGTTGAAATTCAAGTATGTGTAATTTCTTCTCTCTGTACAGTTAAAATAAAACATCTGAACTGTTGCCCAACACTGATCATCTAGGTACACTGTCCCGCATGTTTTCCAATTTTGTTCTGCTCCAGAACACCTGATCCACCAGGCTTTTTGTTTGCCCTTCTCTTAATCAATGGAGATATTATAATTGCCTTCCTAGAAAAGGAGGCTGGTTGTGGAAATACATAAACCTAGCCATACTGAAGTTGGTACAGTTAAATGTACAATAATAAAGTATTGTATGTGACAGATTGTTATAGATCAATAGAAAATTAAAACAAGACAGAAATTAGTCACAAATACATGCAGAGCCCCAAAAAATAGACTAATCAAACAGTGAGGGACCATAAATTTCAACAAAGAGATCCATCCATCCATCCATCCATCCATCCAATTCAGTTCAAATTTGATCTATATAGCACAATAAAACAGGCTCAACTGACCAAAGTGCTTCACGATAAAAAATAAATAAGTCACCAATAAAAATTGCTAAAAGAATTACTGCATCACTGATAAAATAACTAATACAATTAGTAATAAAATAACTAAATGCAATTAAAATAAAAGTAACCATAAAAGAAGCAAACCAATATGATATCCATTTCAGCTAGTGTTTGAAAGTCAGAGCATCGCCACAGAAAGTCTTTATCATCTCTTGACTTTGGGAACAGCCAATAGCAGCTGATCGGCTGACCTTACGTTTCTGGGAGGAATAAGGCTGCAAAGACTCACTCAGATAGGATGGGAAGGTTTAAACACTTAAAAACTATCAATAAAACTTCAATTTCACCCGAAAGCTAACATGGAGCCTTTGAGGGATGAACAAAACTGGGGCGATGGATTCCCACCTTTTTGCAGCGCTGCAGCAAACTGTGGTCGGACCAATCTCAGGGAAGATGATTCTGACTACAGAGATGAGGTCAACAGAATGACTGTGTGGTGGTCAGAAAAAAACGTTTGACTGAACGCCAACAAACAAAACAAAAGAAGTCAATTTGGACTTTAGGATAGGCAGAGTGGACATGGCCTTACTCTACAATCATGAGGACTGTGTAGAAACGGTCCACTCCATGAGATTCCTGCGCATGCAGATATCAAATGAACTCTCCTGGACTGCAGATATCATGGCAGTGGTGAGGAAGGCTCAGCAGCGTTTCCACTTCCAGAGAGTCCTCAGCAGGAGCTATCTGAAGGAGAAAATGCTGGTGACCTTCAACAGAGCCACCACAGAGAGCATCCTGGTGTAGTGCATCACAGCGTGGCAGGGAGCAGGGAATCCCAGACTTTCCTCTCCCCTTAGTCCCTCCAGTGTATCCTGGGTTTTCCCCTGGGTCTCCTCCCAGTGGGACATGCCCGGAACACCTCACCAGGTAAGCATCCTAATGAGATGCCGGAGCCACCTCATCTGCCTCCTCTGAAACGTGGAGGAGCAGCGGCTCTACTCGGAGCCCTTCCTGGAAAACTGAGCTTCTCACCCTATCTCTAAAAGAGAGCCCAGCCATTCTGCTGAGGAAACCCATTTCAGCTAATCCGCTCGTTCTTTCGTTCCCTTTCATCCTCTCCCACTCAGTACATCATCATTCAAGTAATTTGCCCTCAGTCTGAAGATATAAAGCTCATTTTTAAGATAAAAGGAACTATTGAGCTTTGCGCCCCTTTCTATAAGAATTTATAATGTAATGAGCAGTGGAATCAGAGTTGTCTGACTGGGTATTTAGCTAATTACTGCTAACCCTAACCATTTACATTTAATACCAACCCAAGTCATTTGTGGGTTACAGTACAGTAAAAAAAAGTTCATAATCTCAATTCAGAGAGAATCAGACGAATCTCCTTAATAATAACATTATATCGAAAATGACAACTAAGATGTAGAAAAGCTTAATGAAGATGTTTTGACACACTAACACTTGAATTTTATTAGTACAGCAAGCCAAGATACCTATTTGATGGTCATTTGACAGATTGGGATTTCCTGGTTTGCTTCTGAATAAAAGTTATTTGAAGTTTAATTTGAACCTACCTCAGAGATTAGCTCACAGTGACATTGAGTGAAAAATTGTCATGGTGGGTTTGATGCTCTAGCCCACAAGCAGAACACAACAGAGGAGGCAGAGGATCAGGTGAAGGAGGTTTATTGTGACAGAGGAAAACGGTTCCGGAAGGAGGGCTCTGGGAGCTGCGGTGCTGGAGCCGGTAGCAGGAACGGGCTTACTTGGCGTTGAGAGTTCGGTGATAGGACACGGCTGGGAAGCCGGCGAGGGGGGAAACAGAGCGGCTCGGGTCCCACGGTTGTCAGCGGTGCGGTGATTGTCAGTCGAGGGGTTCCGGAGACGCCGGCGCTCGGATGGCTCGGGCAGGTCCAGGTCCTCTGGGCAAAGGAACCTGGCGGCAGGGAGCAGGAAGGTAAATCTCACACTCAGGAGTTCTACACAGGGAACACAAGAGACTGGCTCAAGCGGCTCGGAGTTACCATTACTGGCTAACACTCAGGCGTCGAAGATCTGGCAGTCTGCTCCTTAAGTACTGCCAGGTGGTTCTTCTAAATTGGGACCAGGTGTGCTGGGAGGTGTCAGGTGAGACCGGGGATGTGCAGCTGGCCGCCTCTAGTGGCGGAATGGTGAGTGGAACGTGCAATGCGGATCAGTGAACCCCGGACTATGACAGTGCCCCCCCCTCAATGGTCGCCACCTGGCGGCCTATAGGAGCACGAGGGGAGAGAGGAACGGTAATCGGTGATAAGGGTCGGGTCTAGGATGAGGGAACCAGGAACCCAGGACCGATCCTCCGGACCGTAGCCCTCCCAATCGACAAGGTATTGCCACCCACGACCTCGTCGACGGGAGTCCACGATCCGGCGGACGGAGTAGGCCGGATGGCCACCAACTTCTCGGGGGGGAGGAGGGGGCTCGGAAGGTGGGCAGAGCGTGCTTGTCCGGACGGGCTTGATTTGGGAGACGTGGAAGGTGGGGTGGATGCGGAGGGATGTGGGGAGGCGGAGACGGACGGCAGACGGGCTGATGATGGCCTCAATCTCAAACGGACCAATAAAGCGGGGAGAGAGTTTCTTAGAGATTGATTTCAGGGGGATAACACGGGACGACAACCAAACCTTCTGGCCAGGGGAGTAAGTGGGGGCCGGAATCCTCCTGCGGTCAGCCTGCCGCTTGTTCTGCTCCGCGGTTCGGTTGAGGTTGTGGATGGTGGCCCTCCAAATCCTGTGGCAACGGCGAATGTGGTGGCGTACGGAGGCGACGGAGATGTCTTTCTCCTCGGACGGGAGGAGAGGGGGTTGGTACCCAATGGATGCCTCGAATGGGGAAAGACCTGTGGCAGCTGAGACGTGGCTGTTGTGCGCGTACTCAACCCACGGGAGAAACTGAACCCAATCGGACGGATTGGTAGAGGTGAAACAACGGAGAGTGGTCTCCAGATCCTGGTTTAGGCGTTCCGTTTGGCCATTAGACTGTGGGTGAAAACCAGACGTTAGTGAAACTTTTGCGTTGAGGGCAGTGCAGAAGTTCTTCCAAACCCGTGAGATGAACTGCGGCCCTCGGTCCGACACGATCTCCAGGGGGATGCCGTGGAGACGGAAAACGTGCTTGATCAGCACTTGGGCTGTTTGGAAGGCTGTAGGTAATTTGCGGAGGGGAACAAAATGACAGGCTTTGGAGAACCTATCAACGACAGACAGGATAGTGGTCATACCTTTGGAAGGTGGCAGGCCAGTGACAAAGTCGAGGGACACATGGGACCATGGGCGTCCAGGTACAGGAAGGGGTTGGAGGAGGCCAGACGGGGGTCGATGGGACGACTTATTTCGGGAGCAGATCATGCAGGCTAGGACGTATTCCCGGACGTCCTTATGGACAGAAGGCCACCAGAACCTCCGGTTCACCAAGGCCACGGTGCGGCTAATACCAGGATGGGCCGAGAACTTGGAGGCATGGATCCACTGGAGGAAGCGGGCTCGGACAGTAGATGGGACGTAGATCCTGTTGGGTGGACAAGAGTTAGGAGCTGGCTCGGTTTGTTGTGCTTGCTTAATAAGATCCTCGACCTCCCAGGTCACTGTGCAGCTGGGAGGGAGGATGGTGGCTGGAACCCTCTCCGAGTCGTCCGGTGAGTGTATGCGGGAGAGGGCGTCTGGCTTCACATTGCGAGACCCCGGACGGAAAGAGATGGAAAGGTTAAACCGGGAGAAAAATAATGACCACCGTGACTGTCTGGGGTTTAACCTCTTAGCTGATTGCAGGTAGGACAGATTTTTGTGGTCTGTCCAGACCAATACTGGGTGCTCTGCTCCCTCCAGCCAATGCCTCCACTCCTCCAGGGCCAATTTGATGGCCAGCAGTTCGCGGTCTCCCACGTCATAGTTCCGTTCCGGGGGGGACAGTCTGCGTGAGAAGAAGGCACACGGGTGAGTTTTATTATCTTGGGAAGATACCTGGGACAAGACGGCTCCAACTCCGGAGTCAGAGGCGTCGACTTCCACGATGAACTGCTTCGAGTGGTCTGGTTGGGTGAGAATGGGAGCAGTGGCGAAGCGGTTCTTAAGGCACTTGAAGGCTGCGTCAGCTTCCGGGGTCCAGCTGAAAAGAACCTTAGTGGAGGTGAGAGCTGTTAGGGGCAGGGCAGTTTGACTGTAGTTCCTAATAAAGCGACGGTAGAAATTAGCGAACCCAAGGAAACGTTGTAGTTGTTTGCGGGTCTTAGGTGTGGGCCATTCTAGGACTGCCCGGATCTTCTCCTCCG